GAGTTGCTTTACCTAATGTAAATGGAACAGATCTAAATTTTACACGAATTAAAGTCGATTTTCTTTGGTGCAAAAGTACTTCCTCACAGATGAAGTCCGTTTGACCTCTGCAAACGTAAGATCTTACTTTTTCTTACCTTTGCCTACACTTACAACATTTACAATTTTGTTGGCGAGCATGATTACTCCACTGTCTGCGTAATTCAGAAAAGTTTGAAAACCATCTGCAGTCTGGTTTAGGTGGTACACAGCTATTCCACATTATTTCTTTGGCACATTGACATGGGTTTGTGTATGTCTTGATGGTAGTATTAACATTGGAGTGACAATTGTTGCCATCATCGTAAGCATAGCATCCTCCGCAAATTTGACAAAAGCAGTAATGAGTTTGGGGATTTGATATCACACATCTTCTATCTTCAGTATCACAGTTGTTCACTACATAAATAACCAATTATTAATGAACTTTGAATTATTAACATTCCGAGGTCGGATCGTTACTTATAGCATCGCATGTCTACTAAAAATGATTTTTCTGTTGTTCATTTCACATTACACTAACACACTAGGAAGAAAAGAAAAAGTTAAGAACATTATACTAACCACAACAACCGTCGCAAGGAAATTGTTCAAATTTCTCGGTTCTTCTGCAGCAGGACATAATTCTCGATCAAACATTAAGAGTAAACTGAACTTTTATATAACAAGCGTATTCTGCCATTTGTGTTCCGGTCGTTACGTTTATACTATTGTTCATGAAAATTTGTTTTCCATTTTTGCAATTTTTGTTAAAAGCAGCTATAAATTAGAAATGCAAAAATGAAAGTGCTGTTAGAACTTCATTTATCTAAATTAATGTTTTTTTTTACATTNTTAGAAATGCAAAAATGAAAGTGCTGTTAGAACTTCATTTATCTAAATTAATGTTCTTTTTTACATTATCAATATGGAACGATATTATTTTTTTGACAGTGGAGGTTAAAACAATTGTTTAGTTAAATATGTTTGTCCAGTTGGAAAAGTTAATGGCCTTTCGCGTGATGTGTGCATTTATATACAGAGTTTGATTTTTTGAAATCCATCTCTGTTGTTAATGTAATCAATAATGTTGATATTTTAATAAAGTTCATTTCATGTGCAGGCTCCGCGAATTGTTTAAAATATTGTTAGTATTTAAACTGTTATAATTTCGCACACAAGAATCTTACAACTCATTTTGAAGCTTGTAGCCTCTCTTTTCACAACCCCTTATTCATTTTCTTGCAATATAAGAAACTAAAGACTTGTTTTTCTTTAAAAATATTTTAAATTGAAAAGTTAAGTCTTGTAGAACAAAGAAAAAATGGAAAATGATATTAAGATTATAATTGTTAACTAAAAGATCGAAGTCCGTCTAAGGCATAGGACATAATTATGATTGTTTTATTTTAAACAAAATATTTTACAGTATAAACAGATTAGTAAAAATAGTAAAAAACAGTCCCAAAATATTTTTGGCTTATGTTCATTTGCTTAATGCGTACGTATTAAATACTGGACTTCGACTCAATTACATTATGTTCTTAATAACTTTTATATTGTTTACAGTTCTATTATACATATTATTCGAAAAAATATGTACCAAATAAATCAGTTTCGATCGAACGAAATCCGGACTTACAGGTTAAAGTATCGTGTATGTACATATATTTCTTCGCTGGTGGATACATAAGGTGTATCGTCGTTCGACGGTGCTGGCGACTGACGGTACAGAAAGGAAACAAACAAACAACAATGGCGCTGAAATAAATACGGGCGTACATTTGTAGAAAACATACTTCAACATCTAATTGAAGAAGAGAATCGAAGTTGTGGAATTGACGAAGACAAATGGGAATGGCCGTCATCTGCGACACCCATAAAGTCCAATTGAGTCTCTCGTAATAATTCGAATACTGAAGATCGATGTGAGTTCGATTAGAGACTACGTGCTTTAAGCAGCTTGTACGACCTTGCTCTGCGGGCCCTTTTGCGTGGAATTGATTTTATCCCCTAACGACAACGCCATCCCCTGACTCTTTGCTCTGATACGAATATGGCCGACCACTGGGGCATCCGGTTTGTTTAATGGTTTCTCAATGGACATATTCGCTAATGCATCCTCGCCGAATATCGATTTCGCGTACATATTCGCAGCCATGAAGCCACATTGTCCGGAAAGTGCCTGAAACATCGAAACATGTCGCAGTTAGACTCCAACTTTCCACATAATCCAAATAAAATGAACCTACCTTTTCCGGGGTCAGACAGCGCATATTCGTGGACTTCAGTAAATGGGCAAGATACTCCCTCAAATCTGATAACGTGGTATTTACAGACACCTTATTCTCCCATTCGAATTCTGCCCACATCTGCCGGAACTCCGCGTCGGTACAGGTTGCTGGAACTATGTAGTCCATAATGTCGATATGTATGTCGTTCAGTACTACGACACTCCTGTCGGACCCAGCACCGGATACATCGTAAACTAGAAATAATTAAATAAAAGTAGGAGGCATTCGAAGGCGTCCGAGATTTTTTTCTGTTGTAATAGCTTCTTCTACTTAAAAGCTCGAAATTATGAATGTCCAACTTAATAACTGCACCTATATTGCCAAATATAATTCCGTTTTCTGTGGAGGCTACTTTCACGTTGGCCTTGATGCTCGCAAAGTCTCTCGGTGCGAGCACGATGGGCTGCGGCCTCTCCACGAGTTTCAGGTCACCCATCGTTGCTAACTCCAGAGTGCAATTCTGAAGCGTGTCCTCAGTTTGATTCACAATTAGTACATCCAACACGATGTCGTATTGGTTGACGTGAACCAGAGCTTCTGCGTACACTGGGTCCGAAAAACCAGTTAACTGGGTGACCTTGCTCAAAGCACTGGGAGCTGGGATGTCTGCACCGGAACCGGGTCTTCCTGCAACGGCAGCGCTGAGACTTTGTTCGAACATGTCTGCAGCTCCACCCGTCAAATCCGATCCACGGCTCAATTGTAGGAACTGTATGGCGTCGTCCACTTGGACGATGCTACCTGGCTTTTCTTTAGCCTGCGAGAACAAAAATGTAAATTGGTTGCAAAGAAGCACATCATCAAGAGTGCACTACCTTCTGTGTTTGCGAGTCTTCCTCCGCTTTAGCTGTCAGCATTCGTCCAAGGGCCTCTCGACAACCCTCGATGAATACCTTCTGTACAAGCGGTGTTGGACAAGCTAGAGATCTTAGACACAGGAACAATCGTTCAGCGTCATCGTGAGTCATTGCCTTGGCGGGTAAACCGGAGCGACCCAATTGCAACACACTGGTCATTATTAACATAGATTCGGCTTGCATGTGATTGCGCTTTTGTTCATCACTTTCGAGGCCCTTGTAACGAAGCGCCAACTTGGCTAAGGTCGTACCTAATGATGCACCAATAAAGAAGTCACCCTCCATCATGTACTGAACCAATGCCGGGCGTTTCTCTTCCTCCTTAGCTGAATAAAATAATTTGAAAATTGATATCGACTTATTTATTTCACGGAAGTATTTTAAAAGATACGTACTAGTAGATGCAGTGCTGAATGCACTCTGGGTCGCGTAAGTTCCATCCGATGTGACCAACTGTGCTGGAGTGGCTTGAGTATTTCCATCTTCCGTCTTCTCGCCAGCTTGATGCCTGTTCTCTGCCTCTAGTAATGGTAATTCTCCTAAGGCAGCTCGTATTCGACTCATGAAGGCTTCAATGTCTTCTTTCGTTGTAGCATATTCACCCAAAATCCATAGAGCCGCTCTGTGTACCTTTACCGATCTGATATGTGGGAATACCTGTAAGGGAAAGATTATTTCGTTACGATCTGTTAAGCTATAAAATGTAAATTATTTACTATAGATATTTACTTCAAGTAGCTTTTGAACTATGAGCGGTCTAAGATTCTCGAATCTTTGAATAGCTTCACGGACGAACACTAGCACATCTGTCGCAGCAGCTTCGTTGTTTTCTGATAAGAAGTCTGTCAATACAGGTATCAGCGTAGCTGCCACGTCTGAGAATTTTATTGAACAGGCATGCAATGTTCGCACAAGAAGTTGCCTGTATCTACCAGCATCTTCGTGTTCCCCGCCCACAGTTCTTAATACTTCTTTCTTTAGGAGCTGAACCATTTCCTCTATGGTACGTGTGGTTACTAAGTCCATGGCCAGGGCTAACGTTTTAGTTCTGACTTCTAATGCCGGTGAACCTGAAGGGATAATATTTTTAGCGAAATTCCGACTATTGCAGCATGGTTGTTTCTTCATTTATTTTTCGAAAACGTACCTAGAACTCTAAGTACGTCCATAACTAAATCTTGAAGAACTCTTTCGTAAACAGGACTTTCTTTCATCGCGATTAAACGATCAAGCACGATCAGTTTAACATTGTTGTCACTTTCTTTGACAACTAGCTCAATATAACAGGAGGCTGCAGCTTTAATCGCTGTGGGGGCATTAGACAGTGTTACCAAGGTACCAGCTGCTTCATAACGTACAGCAGCACTTGGAGAGTTTAATAAACTATAAATGCATCTAATGAAACGTGCTCTTTCTGATGGATTTGCTAGACACACCTATCAATTAACGACGTTTGTTAACATTTGAAATCAATAGGGAAATACTTCAAAACGTATATGCACCTTGTAGATTAGTTCAACAATAACCAGCTGTAATATATCACCAAAGCTGGGCACTTGGTCCAAACAAGCAGCTAGATAAGCTAGTGCTCTGTTTTGATCAGCATGTAAGAGCATCAAAAATGCATTTCTCCTACAAGACATGTCCTGCTCTCCTTCTAAATATTTGGCTATTAATTCTGGAGCATCAGGAATGAGGAACTCAAAGTTCCTATAAATTGTAAAAATTGCCAGCACAGCGTTACGTCTGACATAGGAGTGTCTGTGCTCCAAACAAGTAATAATTGCAGGCATCAGCGGTTCCAAAAGTTCTGGCTCTTTCAATTTACACAGGAATCTGAAAGATGCAACATTCTATTGTAATTGTTCAACCAATAAAGAAATGCGTTTGTTCGATCAATACCTGAGGGTCGAGCCTCTGACGAATTCATTAGGATGCTGCAAGTCCTTCCTATACGCATCGCAAACTAAAATCATCTCTTGTAGAAGCTTGCCATCTGGAGAAGTTTTCGGCACTATCTCCCAAAATATTAAAAGAAGCTTTTTGATTGTGTGATCTTGCAGTGGCAGGACAAACCTGATGATAGTCATCAGAAGTCCCGGCAGATGTTCTTCACTCAGGATCATGTGGATGGTCTTCTTCAGGGCTTCAATCTTTGTCTGGGCATCGCCCTTCTCTAGATCCAGCTTCAACTGGAGCTCGTTTAAAGGCTCTGTGTCGGTTGGAATGTTAATCAACGTATAACAAGGTTGCTCTGCGATGGTGCTCATTTTCGTCACTGCTGTACAATCTACCAGGGAGACTTTCTCTTACGAACTGCAAATTAAAATCGCATTAAATGTAGCGAAAATCCAACTACTTTGACTGTTTTATTTACGAAACTGATGGGCATTGAGGTTATGTTGACCTCGGATGTAGGTTTCGTGTGTCATTCGAATGCTATGGTAATCGCATGGATATTGTCGTGTTCGATGTACCTGATCACGATAAAATCACGTAAAAATGAAAGCCAACGATATCTTCCCACTGGTCAACTGACATTTATACAAATCCGGAAACAAGGGACAAACATACATGTCAAACCCCTACATCAGGTGACTAGTACTGAGCCAAGTTTAGGTTATATTATATGTGTTTCTGTATATGTGTGTTATGGGTTAGGTTATATGTATATGTATAGGCCACCGTCCACGTCTTCCACATATGTAGAACATTTTGAAACTCTCGCGTTGTTTGTTTCGTAAAATTTCCATCAAACAATGTCGATTAGGCAATTTAACTCTTCCAATCTCTTTCTTCTATCTCCCGCCACCAATAATACAATTTTAAACTTAGCTTCGATCAAGAATTCGTTATCAATTCCATATTCTATTAAAACAAACACAAGGTGCTCTAGAATGAAAATGTTCGTGCAGTAAAAATTATCCGACACTCGATTATCCAACAGTGTTTGATTACAATGTAATTGTAGTTCTATCTGCTCTGTTCTGATTCCGATTTAAAATAGAAGTGTAGTCTAATTATCTGGTACTGTTTTGATCCTGTGTGTTTCTACAGTATTTAATTTTTGTTTGACAGCAGAATCTAATAACTAATGAACATCTTAGGATACGGAAATATTCGGAAGAGTCTTCTGGATCTGTCTCGCGAGAAGAATTTTTGTTTATTGTTGAAAATGAAGAGTATAAATTATTCTTACTACGTTTTTCATAATCATTGGCTGTATAAAAATAGCGTTATTACACGAGATGCAAGAAACAATCATTACTGTTTTTCCAAAGGCTTTGTTTAGTGGCGCCAACTGTAGCATTCTCACAGTTATCATTTGTGAATGGTTTTGACGAATAGTTTGAGCGTTTTGCCACTATGTGTATTGGCGCTATTTTAATATTTTCAGCAGCAGATAATTCATGCCGGAATTTATATTGCGTTTTATGGAAGTTGCGGCAAGGATCATCTGTACTCCATATTTACAATAACAAATGACCTTTTCTTGCGTGATATCAATTCAGGAGATTGTGTTCTGTACATTTGCCATAATAAATAAATTTATTTGCATGATATATTCAGAAGAGTCTTCTGAACATTTCTGTGCTCTCAGAATATTCTTTAACCATTGAATTTATGTGAAAATCCTTCTGTTTTCGATCATATCCTTTGAATTTGCCTATTCTCGATTCATTTCTAACATCGATTAAAACTTGAAAATCAATTGTCAATGTTTCTTTTATAAATATTTTGATTGTGCAAAATATCCAGCGTCTCCTTGAGATCTTGAAAAATGTGTCTTGACATCGCCTTGTATATAGTAACTAGCACTGTTGAGATACTTTGGCCAATAGTCATAGAAATATTTTGGCACATCAGATATATATTCATGCTAGCGATACTTGGACATACAGCAAAATATATATCCTATTTAATGACATACTCATCAGAGGGAACTATTGCCAGTTCTAATACTACCCAAACCGATGGATCAACCGCCTGAATTTAAAGTGCACCCGCGATGTAAATGTTTCGAACATATTCATATAATTACGTTGAAATATCAATATGTTACTCCAATATGTTTGGCCTGTTGTATGATTTCAAATGACATGAGTGAAATGAAAGAATTGGAATACGACAATTATACGGATAAGCAGATTTATTCAATAAAAAAAGATATGATAGAAATCATTATATTATGTATACAAGAATTAACTATATAATAATAATCTAATAATTAATATCTGTTTCTTTACAATTAAATCTTTACAACAGAGATACACTCTGTTTGCCATTACTCTCGTTGTATGACATAAATCGTGTAAAACATGATTACGCCTCAACTCACTTTGGACGGACTTCAATAAAAATGGATGGATTGAATTGGATGCGCATCGCGCTAAGGCAGTATCGTAATACTAGCAAATGTGTCGCGCTTCACGTGGCACATTCTTCATCAATATCGCATTAAATGACAAAGGCATCTTCACATTGGATTGTTACCTTTTAATGTGGTAATAACCGACAGCTGCCACATTGACGGCAGAAGCTAGGGAAGCGAGCAGCCTAAGACACGGAACTTGGGTCTGAACATCACAGGACCATATCGTTCCAACATTACTCTCGATACGTTTTAGTTTGCGCTTGATCTCCTACTTCCGCAACGAATATCTAGAGTCTTTTCCGCAGATAAATAATAACGGAGATTGAAATCTTTCCATTTAATTTGCGGGCATTGTTGATACCGCGCTGTGAGGTGTTGTTGGTCGAGAACCAGCAATGGACTGTGTGGTAGATGCGTTCAGTGATTGCATGGTACCAATCTGAAAATTAAGATTTACTACATAATTTGCATCAAAGTGTAAAAAAAGCAGTACTTATGATAGGCATTAAATTAATTCATTTCGTAATATGAGAGAGGGTTCGATAGGAAACTTACTCTCAAATGTGCAAGATCTTCCAATCTTGTGAGATCGCTCAACTCGATATACAAAGAGTACACTATTAACCATCCATAGATGGAGATACAAGTAAATATAGACCACAGAAGGCACATCATGATGTTGTAAGCAAATATCATGTCATTTACTGTACTGAAGAATACAAAAGCAAACAGTCTAAAAGTACTGAACGCAGCAAAACTGTACAACCAAGGCACCATTTTCTTCTCGTATTCCTTTCGTAAAGCAGTTATTAATATTAAGGATGTTACAAAAACTACTATCCCACCAAGCATGGAGAACAGAGCAAACACTACGAGAGCATTGCGAACTGAAACAAGAAGAAAGATAAATTTTTTGTAGATTTATACTTTATCGCTTATTTTACGAAACGTTTAAATTATGTACTATTCTTACCATGTTGATTGCCTACATATACAAATTCATACGATATCATGTAGTATCCATAATGCGTTGAACCTGGAGCAGCTTGAGATAGACAATAAAGGTCGAATATCGCTGTGCAGACAGTGAAAATGGCTAAAACCTGAAGATAAGCATTTATTAAGAGCAAATACGTTTGCAAATTGATGTATATTAGATAATAACGGAACGTAATACATACCAATGAAAATATTCCAGTAAACAAGGCACCTCTTTGGATGTCAAGAACATAAGCATGTGTTAATATTGGTTTTTGATACCATGGCGTTGTTTTGACACTGCGTACTGATCGCGAAGATCTTAAATTTGCACTGCTACGCGTAGTAACATGCGAGTATACTGAAGGCGTTCCCATACTTGGGAACGTAATTCATTCTTTCAATACATCAATAACACAGCTCGTCCAAGTATGACGAGTATCTTGTAAGTTGTTCAGAGCTCTATAGTGTTTCTGCTTTCCTATACGTTTGATTAATTAATCCTTGTTATATTATGCAGTGGGTTACACATTCAATCAAAACGATATTTCGAAACGTATTTGACTCACTCTGCGTCGAAACAGGTTAAGTTGCAAATACTGTTATCAAACTTTCCATGCAACGTTCTATTTTGTGACGATATAGTGATCATTCACTGTTTGTAAAAATACACAGAATTTTTACTACAAGTACTCCTCCCACGAAACAGGTTGACCCATTTCTCTGTAAACGTAAACATAAAGTCGTCGCATCTACACATGTCGACGCCCGACTGTTTAAATTGAACCGAGACGTACCGATAACACTGTCTGACAAAATCAAATTTTTTTCTGGTTTCCTATAGCCACTATGAAATTCTTGTAGAGCTTCACTCCCCGAACAAGAATCCGAAAACCGATTTGTTCCATCACCCTCAGTTTTGGAAAAAAAAACGAACTTTTGTAAAAACCTAAAATTTTCGACAAAAATGAGGCATCACATGAAAAGTACAAACGTCAGAAAGTTCTAGTCGGTCTCAAAAGATAGAGGAAAGTTTCCCGAATATAGTGGCATACAATTCATTAATTGTTTTTGGTCCTAAATAACTATAAATTAATGTCAAAGTTTAAAAAAGCGTCGACGCGCGCAGTTTCTCCGCAATATTTTTGTATTTTTACGAGAAGTTCATTGTTCAGCACGAAAACTCTACCCAGGATCGGATTCTGTAGATATTTCTAAAAAAGAAACGGCCCGATAGAAGCGTCGGAACGATGTACATTTTGAGTAGGTCGAGAAAATGTTCGTCGGCAACATGTACACGATGTTTTACCGCCATGTGCTTCGCTGCTCGCTTCTCTCTGTTCGACAGGGCCGAAACTATGCGTAATTAACACCGATGGAGGGATCCAATGGGGCACCCACTTAGCGTGTGGGGCGTGCTACTTTGAATTTTTTTTTAGTACTTCAATGTGCTGTTTTCTTTTACATATTTCTGTAGATAATAATCACTAAACTGTGAATCATAAATTAAAAGGTACGAAAAACATGGTTTTAGGAACATAGAAGATTATTAATTTTCAAATGGAGAAATAATAAAAGAAAAATAATAAACAAAAATATTCATTTAATTCTGAATTTGTTCGAATTACAAGTATATCATGTATACAGTTATCATTTAAATTATAGCGATAATACGATCATGAATAAATAATAATTTTCAAAACGTTAAACTTCTTGAAACATATTGTTAAATATATATTTAAATATTTATTTAATTATATGGCGTAGAAGTCAAAATTATAATAGTATTAGAATATCTTCGTTACCCACTGCAAATACCCTGGTGTGATTTTTAGTGTGAAAAATATCACAGTTTTGTGATTATTACCCACAGAAATATATAAAAAAACAGAACATTAAAGTACTAAAAAAAATTCAAATATTATTTACGAAAAGTGGGTGCCCCATTGGATCCCTCCATCGGTGTTGATTACGCATAG